ACAATTTTTCCATTTTAAGTATACTAACCTCACTCCGTTGTAACAACTAGGGCAAAAATGTAATTCAGAAAACCTTTTCAGGACCTCACCTTGATGTTTCAGGACCCAAACCACAACTTTGGGAAACACTGCTCTAAAGTTAGTGAGACTGAAACTAAGAAATTTGTCCATCATGACAAAAATAAACAACAAATCACTTTTCTCACACTTTTTATTTATTGTATCACACACTTAAGTCATGCATATATGCATTAGACAAATGATTAGAACTGAATCAATTTTAGGAGAAACTAAGTTTTGTTTCAATGAGCTGTAAAGAGTCCAACAAATTTGTCTGCATCTACATTTTTATAATGCTTTAAATGAAATGTAAATGTCAAAACATTTCTGTTAGTTGAGCAGTTAAAGATGCATGTAAAATCTATGACTTTGAACACTAAAAATACATTTTGTTCCTCAGTGCAATGGCTGTCCCTCCAACATACTCGGACCTCGGCAAGGCTGCCAAGGACATCTTCAGCAAGTCCTATGGTCAGTACTGCTTTATTGTCCTTGAGGAAAGGATTTTCTGTTAGAAATCCCTGAAATGCAGTTTGTTAAACTGTTAACCATTAAATCAGTTGGTGGATTAGACATCATAAATTAATTGGATTGTTGAAAAAATATGAAACAGTATAATGTGTAACCATATAATTTGTTGTTCTAGAAAGATTTGATGTTCTTGTTTTGTTTTGTTAACTAAAGATTACTTGTTTGAATTGAGGATAAAAGGGGCAGATATTATAAGATTTTTAATTTATTCTCTCTGCTTCCTTTTGTTTATTTGTATTTTTTATTTTTATTGTATATAATTTTATTTTTTTTAATGAATTGAACAATAACAATAAAAAGCTATCTTTCACAAGACAGGTCTGCAAAATCGCAGCACAGACCAGTCCGGCCTTAAGCTCCCTCAGCTGGCCAGGTCCCACTCACATGTGCACATTCAGAAATGAGCCCAGCAGCACAGAACCAAAAGAGGCGTGGAGCAGATCTCAGCTCGGCTGAAATGGACCGCGATGTAATTATTGTGTGACGATGTCTGTCTCGTATTAAACAAAACTACATTAATGATCCTGTGGTTCAGTATTTTTTCAACTAACTAAACAGTTGCTGTTCTGTGTCGTTTTTAATATTCCCTCAGTAAAATACTCTTGATTAATCCTGCGGTCACACACTGATGTCTTCACTGTATCAAAAAACAAAAAAACCCTGAATTAACTCATTTTAGTGATCCTGTGGTTCAATATTTTTTAAACTAACCACAAAGTTGCCCAGTGTCCTCTTTAATATTCCCTCTAATAAATTTGTTAATTAATCCTGCGGTCGCTCACTGATGTCATCAGCTCATTATAATTTTCTGCCTGGCTTGGTCCCGGCTCTGTTACTACCTCTGTTGGGGGCTCAGACGAGTGTCAGAGATAGGCTCACTTTACCCCCAGTTGCTGCCTCCATATTTTTTTCTGAATGATCCAAAGAGGACAAGAACACGCATCAGTCTCGGACTGAACTGTCTTATGAGTGAGGCTATTGTCTGCACACCTTCCCAGGTAGATTCCATCTGTGTTGACAGCCAATGCTTGGGGTGGAGTTAATGCTAAATAATGTAAAAGAACAGCCTTTGTTAACACCCCCAGGTATCACCTCAGGTACACGTGGACAAAATTGTTTGTACACTTCATTTAATGAAAGACAAACCCAACGGTCACAGAAATAACTGGAATTTTACAAAAGTAAGAATAAATAAAAAAATCTATGAAAATTTGGGCGCTCCTATGATAAAAGTTAGGTGCACCAGTGCATTTATTTGTTTGAATCCTCTTGTTTTTACTAGATTACTACTATAGATTAGTGATGTCCAAAGTCAGTCCTTAAGGGCTGGTGTCCTGCATGTTTTAGGAGCTGCCCTGTTTCAACACAGCTGAACCTAAAGAGTGCTTAATTAGTAGGCCTCCTCAGTATGCCATCAAGGTCTGCAGAGATTTTGGACACCACTGCTATAGATATTTAACATATGATTTGGGTCCAACAGGTTTTGGTCTTATAAAGCTGGACCTGAAGACCAAATCTCACAGTGGAGTGGTGAGAACAATTTTTATTCTTTCTTCTGTTTCCGTCTCTACCAGGCTTAAACACTCCAGTCTTTCCAGACAGATACAGTGTGTGCAGAGTACTGGCATGTTTTATGCTACTTTAAATGCAGTGACTGAATATTACTGTAACTCAAGCTTATGATTTAAAGTTTGGCATGGTCTGCTTTGCTTTATCTGCTGTCATACACAGTGGCAGCATCTGTGTGCTTGTCTTTCCTAACCACTACACTGTCCTTATGCTTCCACCCTGGACCGGTTGTACTTTAATGTAGATGGTAAGATTGAATGTGGAGTAGAGATCATGATCATGATTTTTTGTCCTGCTTGTTTTTCTTATTTTTGGCACATTGTCTCTCCTTTTTTTTTTTTTTTTTTTTTTTTTGTCATTGTGAAAGTTTTTTTGTATCTATTTTCCATTTTATTAGTTGCGTTTTTATTAGGTAATCAGCAAGTTGCCTCTGATTAATAAAGTAAATGATTGCTTAAAAATGCGAGGGGAAAATGTAAGATTTTGTAGTTTTTAAGTCCAAAATGTTCTTTTGGATTGGTGTAAATTATATTTGAGGTGGATCATGGTTTTTTTTTTTTGCTGTGGTCTTCTGTGGCTATTCAATCTGATTTTGATACAGGGATAAAACTGTCCAATAAAGCATACCAGATACGTAGTTTTACCAAATCAGACCAGAGCAGGGCAGGTCGCCCGGATGCAAGCAGTGTTGCCATCTTGCGAGAGACTGCAGGGGAAAACATCAAATTTTAAACTTGTTTAAACAAGTTTATTAAAGACAAATATCTCCCTATGCATTTAGGTGACATCAGGAAGTACCTAAATGTCAGTGAAACATGACTTCAAGTACAGTAAAATATAGTGATGTAGTCGGGGTCTGAGCTGGTAAAAAATCCTAAACAGTGGGGAAAATAAGTATTTAGTCAGTCACCAATTGTGCAAGTTCTCCCACTTAAAAAGATGAGAGAGGCCTGTAATTGACATCATAGGTAGA